AAGGATGAGGTTCGGGCTTGGTCCGGAAATACCGGGCTCATGCGACGCGTTGGGAGTCTTCTGGTAGGTGGAGAACGATCTCCTCCGATGGTGACGGCTGTTGGCTGATCGGGCTGTCAGCTTGTCCACGGGGCTGCATGCATCCCTCGGAGATTGGTACTTGTCGCTGACAGCTTCGTGTTGGCGGCTACGAGAGTGCATGAACCTTCGTTGTCTTCCGGAAGCGTCGAGTTGGAGGACTACATCTGGCGATGTAGGATTTCACACTTACGAAGTTGGAGTTGTTTCCTGGTGTGGCAGGGCTCTCCTCTGCTGCTGGCGATGGCGGCTTGGGAGCTCGGGAGAGCGCGGTGGTGGGAAGTTGGGCTGCAGGTAGATGCCCGCATCGAGGGGTGAGACGTGCGCTTGGTGACGTGCGCTAACCGGTGGTGCAGGCGCTGTCCCTTTGGCTAGCTGTTTTTTTTTTTTTTTTCCCTTTCCTTTTTGCATTTTCTTTGTGTAATAATAATAGTAACAATAAGAAGCTTGATGTGCTTTTTTGCTCCTTGCTCCCGTCAAAAAGGTCGGCTCATGTAAATGGCCTCAAGACGTAGGACCCCACGGCTGCAGCAAGTAGCGGGATTGGCATGCACAGACCACAAGAGCAACTCACTCTCGGACTAATGCCCTCACGATGACGAGGGGGCCAAGGAGTATGCAATAACCAGCCCCCTGGACCAACGGTGGTCGGGCTTGGAACAGGCCTGTTTTCTCTTTGTTTATTTCAAAAGTTTTTCTTTTTTTTTTTCGTTTCCTCTTTTGCCACTTTTTAACAACCAACGGATTACTGCATCAAACGAGTAAGTGGGAATGGAGGCTTCCATCGTAAGATTGTGATTCCCAGTGAGGGCAGTGACTATATTAAAACAAGGCGCAGAGGGTACTATTCACCCGGCCACTGTGCAGCAACCGTCTCTGACAACGGTTGGAACACGATGCACATCGGTTTAGCTCTTTAAAGTTTGGTGTGATGATGCGCGACATGGACTTCTTCACCGATTGGGACCAGGAGGAGGAGTAGCGGGAGGTGGAGGAAGTGGTAACGCTCTTGGTGTGAGGCACCCTCCTGGTTTATCCTTCGCAATCCTACGCCTAGGCGTGCCTTGACCTAACGCCATGCAGACTGTTGCGTCCTGCCCCGCCAAACCGGCTATGCCTTGCCTGTGCCCATTCACGCCTACGCTGAGCGCCTGTTTTGCTTTTCCTTTTCTCCTTGCTCTACTTCCAAATCTCGCCATAGTCGGTCGGCCCTTTGCCGCATGCGTCTCCGAGAGGGTCTTTCTTTGCACTTCTTCTAAAGCGCTTTGTGGTTCTGATTAGCGGTACCATCTGCTTCACGGCACTTTTTCTGCAAGTTGTTGCCTATTCTATGTGCTATGCGCTATTGGTTGGCCTGCTAGTTGATTGAGTGGCGTAGTAGCGAGGAGGGAGGGTGATGGAATCCAGAGTGATGACAGAGACTTTTTGGCTTTCCTTTCTCTCCTTCCTCTCTTTTCTCTACTTCTACTCCCTTGTCCCCCTCCACATGAACTCTCTTCCCCTCTCCCCCCCCCCCCCCCCCCCCCCCCCCCCCCCCCCC